ACTTTCTATGATGGCATTGTCCACCCTACAGTGTTTCTGGCTGCGTTGTGTAAATGGGATTAGACAGATGTATAACTCATGAGTAATGATAATTAGATGGTTTCAATGTGAGTCGGAGCAAATTAGTAACTGTTTCCCTCATTATATTTTAATTTCAAAAGAAGGAATAATTCTGTATTTTGCTATTTTCTTTTATTTCATTGCTTTAACTCTGTCTCTGTTATTGCTTCTGCATTTTGTAAAATAATGTCCAGGAATGAATGGGGAGATGTGATCAACATTTATTAAGGGAAAGCTCAAGTTTGCTGAAAACTAGATTTCTTACCTGTTTGGAGAATATCTGTCTGAGAAAAACAGAAATAAAGAAGTCAGAGTCAGATTGCTGTATAGGCTGAGTGGCATCAGATCAGTTTTACAGTCAGTGGCTCATTTACAGTATAGTTCAACAAACATACACAAACCTACAAACTTTCATTCAACGAGACCTCCTGAAAGTATAAAAGCAATACAAGTAGAGTTTGTAGGGTGGTGTGACTGCTCCAAACTTGAACTGAACGTGAGCAAAACCAAAGAGATGGTGGTGACCTTCTCCAGTAGGCAGAGGGATCTGGCTGCTTCAGTCACCACCACCATCCTTGGGAAGCCAGTGGAGGTAGTTGAGGAGTACAAATACCTGGGAACCATCTTTGACAACCTCCTGAAATTCTCCGCCAACACAGAGGAGATTCTCAGGAGGTGCCACCAACGGCTACACCTCCTTAGGAAACTCAACTCCTTTGGAGTCAGCACACCCATCATGATAGCTTTTCACTATGCCTTCCTAGAGAGCATCATGACCTTCTTCATCACCTGCTGGTTCCACTCCCTCAGCCTTCAGAACAAGAACAGACTGCAGCACACTGCATCACTGTGCTCTAAAATCATTGGCCTGCCTGTCAGAACTCTGGCACAGGTTTTCAGCCAACAGGCCCTTAGACAGGCAGCCAAAATCATCAATGACCCCTCCCACATTCTTCACCCCGCATTTCAATGGCTCCCCTCTGGACAATGCCTCCGCTGCATTTCCTGCAGGACTGAGAGGAGGAGAGCCACCTTTGTCCCCAAAGCCACCCTGCTTTTTAACTCCAGCCAATAAGAACATTTCCCACACCAGAAACATAAACTACTCTACACTCTATTATACTGCCGACACTTTATTCACTTTTAGTAACTTACAGTTATTTATTCACCTTTCAGTCACTTTAATTTTAAAACTGTGTATATACTGTATACTCTGTGTATTTATTATCTCACTCTCATTGCCTGTTTATGCCCTGTCCTTATCTTTAACGTCATGCTGCTCTGTTGTATCTTAATTGCCCCTTTGGGATAAATAAAGTCTTTCTGATTCTGATTCTGATACAAGAAATCTAAAAGTACAATTATTTCCTAAATCCTTAACACTACTTAACATATTATTGCATGAAAAAATTATTTATTACTGACTGATGGCAAGAAGAGTAACCAGTTTTAATGCAATCAATTTAAAACTGTAAATGTTATACTCTAACATTAATATCCATCGGCACATTGACAAATACTTTCACATATCAATTGACATAAATCTCACCATTTCTTCTTTTAGGTCTAAGAATCATCAGCACCAGTAAAATGACGCCCACAGTTACTCCGAAACCAACGACAGCTAACACAACAGTCAGTGTCCACGTTCCTGTTTGAGATCACAAACACATCTCATTTTTACTTGGAAGTTTGGCCGTTTTTTTTTTTTTTTGTTAGGTTTCCCCTTAATTTTTTGTTTTGGTTTACCTTTTTCTTTTTTGTTTAATTCTTGCCCCAATTAAAACATCAGTAATTTAGTAATTTTAATTTTAGTAATTAAAATGTCTTTAACATTTAAAAAAATGTTAAAGACATTTTAAAGAATAGATGTGTGCTGATGTTGTGTAATTCAAAGGGGAGACAGTTGTATGGACAAAAATTGTGAT